ACTGCCCTGAGTGTCATCCCTTGCCGAGCGAAATCACAAGCCCTTACGAGAGGAGGTTACCTCCTTCTCCTCAGAGCGGGGCTTTTGGGTATAACTTGGGATAAGATCTGTTCTGGCCGAGAACTCTGACCGCGGGTCCCTGCTTTCTCGAGAGGATACTGACGCATACCTGATTGTGTCCGCATTTGTCAAGTGACAGAAGGCCTGATCTTTCTACCAATAGGAAAGTAGACCTCTTCAGCAGCAAAACGTGATTGTTGGTTCAATCAGCGGGGTGACAAATTCCATCAGCAATGGCATGCACTCCTCTCGTTCCGTCACAACCAGAACAGATCCCATTATTAATGACACAAGCCAGATCGTTTCGTTAGCCGGATGACAGATCCCGTCGACAGTGATATGCTACTGCCCGTTCCTTAGGTGCAGCGACAATTACAGTCAGCCAATGACGTGTCTCAGCTCGTCCCGTTAGCGGGATGACGAATCGCGCCAACAATGAATGACTTGTCGCCGATGTTTTCTCCCTCTAACAGCAAGCTGTCCGGTTTGCGGATGGTTGGTTCGCTAAAAACGACTCTCTGCAGATTTACTTTYCCCCCAGGAGCGCGTTACTCAATTGCCAGGTGGTTGACTCACTGAAAGSGACTCACCACYGATGWGTTCTCCCGACAGCAGCGGGCTGCCTGATTGGCAGATAACTCTCCTGACAGYTGYGGACTGCCCGATTGGCAGATAACTCTCGTGACAGCTGCGGACTGCCTGATTGGCAGATAACTCTCGTGACAGCTGAGGACTGCCCGATTGGCAGATTCGCTTTCTCACTCTTTCTCTCTCTCGCGAGACTACAGCCCTCGAGTCAASTGAGAGGATGCTGAGCGCGCTYGGCGTGCATCCTTCATATCTCTCTCCTCTCTCCCCAGTTTAACTCCCGCTCTTTCTTGATTAGGCGATTCACGTCACTTCGCGTGAAGCGAGCCGAAACGCGCGTGGTGCATGTCCAACACKCTGCCCGCTAYAKCCCGTTGTCCCAACGAGTTCGGAATCYAATGGGGGCGGCGCTCACCTTGCAAGCTCCTTTTCTCCRCCAATCCACACTAGTCCCCGTTTCCCTGCATTCAWCATGCTTATCCCCCATCCCACTAGCCAATCGGGTTCTTCATCTCCGCATAGAGCTCCGAAGGAGGGCGGGGTACTCCTGGCATGCCAAACGAAAATTCCCCCCTCTGCAAGCATGCATTCCCTCTGATCGCCCCCAACTGAACTCAAACTCAGATTGCGCCGGGGGCGGTGAACGCCTGGCACGCCTCCTACAGGCACTCTTCCCAACGGTTCCCCCCTTCCACCTGAATGACTCCCCTCCCTCTTCAGTTCTCCGACAAGCTCTGAAGTCAACCAAGCCAAATCACTGCGAACTCCTGGCGCACGTTCCCCGTTCGCTGGGCACCCACGACTTCGTCTTGCAAACGAGCCCCGATCATCTCGCGCACTATCCCTCAACTGCACCTGCCAGCGTAACTGCGCCGAGCACACCGTGCACACATCCCCTGTTGAGTTTCCCTCGATGACTATATTCCCCGTCCGCTCCGTCCAGGTCCGCTGTAACCGCCCGAACGCAGACCGCGCCTGTGCCTTACTTACAAGTGTCGGGTATTCCTTACTCGTCATCCCAAGTGTTCCAGCCCGAATACCCTCTCAATCSCTATCATTTCGATTTACTGGCCATCTCATAGCAGCGCCAGGGCTTTAGGCTTGGCTTACTGAGTCTGCCTTGTAGTCGCTGTTCCAGTGCCAGCCCTGGAAGCGCTCACGCACTTTTTCAGTAACGAACTACAAGCGAACCATCAAGCCAGAGTACCGCAAGCATTGCAGGTCAGCCAAAATTTCACAGCACCCAATCTTCATATCGGGTCCAACCTGTAGTTTCCTTATCACGATGAGACCAAAACAATGGTCGTTCCTGCTGGCACCCCAACTGCTCAGCGTCGATTTACAAACGGCCACCATAATGAAGTTCCGGACCCCACACGGTACCAATTCTGCGCCAGGAATACTCTTCTGGAGTGCRGCAGCCCTTACCGACGCCGGTCCACCGAAATATTCTGATGCCACGTCAATTCTGAATCCTCGGCGAACCTGAAAGAATTCTCCGCAAGTACACGGCATCTGAATTAAGTATAATCCCGCAMCTGAATTAAATGCCAATGATGGCTCCGGGTCTGGAAACTAATCACTGCAATGGTCCCGAACCTGATAACAAGTCACCGTAGTGATATCAATGCTGAAATAACTCGTCATGGTAGTTCCGAGCCTGAAGTGAAGTAGTCCCAGCCCTGAAAATAAATCACCGCAGAGGTTCCGTACCTGAAATAAATCGTCGTGAGGGCGTCGAACCTGAAACGAAAACAGCGCGATGCCACCGAACCTGACCAAACCCGAAATCCAGTATCGGACTGTTGTGCCACGCGGATGCCGAACCCGTACAATCATGCCATGATAATTCCGTACTTGTCCTTAACCTGATATAGAATGTCGCAACGTTTCCGGATCTGAAAACAAACTGCCGCCAAGGTTCCAAACCTGGAAAAACTGTCGTAGTGGCCCCGGTCCTGATAATAAATCACCTCAGCTGTCCCGAACCTGAAAATAAGTCACCTTAGTGAACCAGCTGTCATCGGGCCGATACCGTACCTGAAGCACGTCAGACACCGTAGGACGTACCCACTCCGTAACAACCCTCGTATCCGTACTGAACCAAACACTATAGTCGATCCAAGGTAGCACCACCCCATGCTGTCCATTCGACTCCCGCTCTCAGAACATCCCAACTGCGGTAATATTAGTAATCAAGCAAACCAGGGAAAGCGACGCATGGAACCTCGACCATCGGCAGTAGTGAAAACTGTTAAAATCCGAAGAAAATGTTCAATTTGGGGTCAGAGCTGATGGCGGGTAATCGAGGCGAAATTAGGCCAATCTCCCAATAGTCATGGGTTCCCGTCCCCTTCATGGTTTTTCATCATTCTTCCCTTTCCTTAATCCTATTGTCGGAAATAGTAAATTAACCGTAAGTTCCCCAAAATTATATTCCGAGATAGTTTAAGTAAATCGCCGTATTCCTTTCGTTTCTTTTCTCTTTTACCATTTTCAATTTTTTTCTATGTTTTTAATCCCATTGCCGGGAACATAAAATAACCAGGGTATTCCCCCTAGAATTAAATGTTGTGAAAAATAAAGAAAATAAGGGATATTATGTTTTTTCTCTTCTCCCCTACTGGTCTTAATCCCTTTTTCCCATCTTTAATTATAGTACTAAAAAAGACAAAAATTTGAGGCCTCATTTCGGCCCTCGGTCGTATGCCGCAAAAACGTTGCGGCGAAGTCAGTTCCCTCGATGCCTCTCCGCGGCAGGCCAATCCGGGTCTAACCCTCTAAACGGTCGGAAATGACGGTCCCTAGATGCGCCGAGTGCGGCCACCTATCTCGCCATCTTTGAGGGTTACTCGTAAAACTCTATGGGAAGCGGGCAATGCCGCCCAAACCACAAGGTGTATGGAGGGTATCCCGTGCTAGCCCGGACCGTGACGTTGTCCGCCCAAATTGCGTATCGAAAATATCGTGGTCAATCATTGTCCTTGCCTTTGCACCACTGAGATAGCGACGCTATCAGGGTCAGGTGCCCTCTCTCTACTGGGGAGTTCGACTGTGGGTGGTAGGCAGTGGCTATCGAAACTCTCGCCCCAGCTCTCTTGAATACATTCTGAACCTCGTCAGCCAGGAATTCCGCTCCTCTGTCCATCACTATCTTGTTGACACAACCATACCTAGATAAGTACACTAGGACGAAGTTCTTCACTTCCCTTGCCGTCTTACTCCTGATAGGTCTACCGTCCACGAACCCCGTGAAGTCGTCTCGTATGTTCACAACATAGTTCATATTGCCTACCCCTTTCGGCATCTTCACCAGATAGATGTGTACCTTCTCTCCTGGTCGGGTTGGATAGGATGGATGAAGTGGCTCTTTGTATTTCACAAGAGCTCTCTTCTGGCATCCTTCGCAGGTCATACAATATCTCTCGACGTTCTTATACTGTCCTTCCCACCAATACAGCCTGCRTACCTTTTCGTAGGTTCTTTTGACTGCCCTGTGTCCTCCTACTACCCCGTCGTGAAGCTCTGCAACTATTGTCTGTCTCTCCTCAGGGTCACAGACTACTCGTGAGGGTATCCCCGAGCCGTTCGGCCTTCGAAACTGATTTCCAGCTCTAAGGCAGTAGTGGGCCGCTTGTCTCCGGATATTTGATTCTTGACTCTCCTTTCGTGACAAATATAGCCCGATCATTCGGTATTTGCCCTCGTAAAGGTTAACCAGAAAACGCTCGGTGGGTCCTAGCTCCGCCATAGTCAGGGCCCCAAGGCCCCCAACTACTACCGGGCGCTCGGTCTCAAGAGGGATGCGCGAAAGTTCATCTGCCACGACATTTTTAGTGCCAGATATCCTCTCAACCGTGTAATCGTATAGCCGAATCCGTATTAACCATCGGGCGATGGTCGGGTCCGTCAGACTAGAGTCCTTCTGGAGGACAGAGGCAACCGCGGTGGGGTCTACTCTCAAGATGAGTCGTCGCCCAAAGATATAGTGTCTGAACGTGTCTAGACACCGGAGAACAGCTAACACTTCCTTCTTGAATTGACTGTAGTTACGCTCAGCCGTATTAAGTGTCCTACTCTCAAATCTTAACGGTCTTTCCTTCCCTCCAGCGTCCTTCTGAGACASCAAACCACCYACTGAAYATGRTCYAGCATCCSTGGATACTATGAAGGGTCTCTCGGTCTCATCGTCAAAGAATGGCACGCCCAACACGCGTCCTCSCTCCTTAAATTCGTCTTTAAGTTCTTGYATAGSGAGTTCYTKCGAAGAATCCCAGTAGAATTTTTCAGTCTTTCGAAKGAGTAACCTCAATGGCTCAGCCTTCTCCGCATACCCCCRTATGAATATACGCCAGTAACCGACCACTCCTARAAACTRTYGGATCTCGGTTGSRCTATGTAAYGGTGACGGYCAGTTCAGAAGTTTGTCTAACTTYGCCGGATCGGCTCGGCGTCCTCTCGAGTCACARATAAAGCCCAAGATCTTAATAGTCGAGACGACCCATCGGCTCTTTGTTCCGCTGACTGTNTGTTCCGCTGACTGTTAAATTCGCATCGTCCAGCTGCTCGAGTACCGCGCAAATATTTGTTAGGTGCTGCTTGACGAATCTTCTAACTCCAGGTAAAACATTTGTCTCATCCCTGTCTACTGACCCTTTCATGGGAAAGTCATCCAGAAAAACTTCAACCTTATCAGGGATGAAGTCCTTGAGGACGGCTACCATGGCTCTCTGAAGAACGGCTACCCCATTAGTCCAACCCATAGGGACAACCATCATTTGTATTAGTCCCAATGGCGTATGCATAGCCGTGAGGTGCCTGTCCCTAGGGTCAAGCGGTACCTCATCATAACCTGAGAACAGATCACAGACYGAATAAATCGACCTACCTGCGGCGCCTTCTGCCCGTAAATCAGCGTGTGGCACGGAGCCCACGTCTCGTATCGTCACCGCGTTGACCTTCTGAAGGTCCTGGATCCATCGGATCTTGCCATTCGGCTTTCGTAGGAAGAACCATCGATTAGCATAAGCGCTATCAGATGGGTCCGCAACGTGGGAAACCATCTTTTCTTTCAGGAAAGCGATAACTTCTTCCTTCTCCTTCTGGGCGTATTTCCATCCTGCGTCATTCCAAGGAACATGTGGAATCGTGTAAATCCTCATTGGCTTAGCGTATCGAGGGTCAATCCTACCGCGCTCCTCGTCGCTGAAAGCTATTGCCTTATCACATGTCTTCAGAATTTCTATCACACGTTCTCGCTCTTGTGGGGTCAGATTTCCATCTCCGATGTCCATCCCTGCTATCCTTTCTTCCGTTAGGCGTTGTGGCTCCTTTTTCTTTCTTTCTTTGATTTCTTTCGCGATCTCTTCTTCCGATATCYCTTCCAGTGCAGATCGCTCGCGGCCCACCGCCGCTGGCTTAACCTTTTGAGCTACTCGCTTGTGTCGCTTGGGTAGCCCCCCATAGGGGRACGTGCCCTTAAAAAAGATACGGATACCACACCGCCAAATTCCTYATCTTTTTCCTTTGGGTACGAGTTGCCGTCCACTATTAGCCGACTCCCTAAATCTTCCACC